TTTATCCATCCCATCCACCCATCTAAACCAGGGAATAAGACTTAGTTAATATTAGCCATATCACAACTGCAATATGATCAAGTAGATATTTATTCATCAACTTCATTAATAATATTGCCGTCTCACATAAAACATGAACTCAATACATATAAACATGTCAGTAGTCACGTATGTTGACAGTAAAAAAAAACTAAAATTCAAGTTAAATCAAAAATAAATATGCATTTATTTTTGTTTAACCGTTCCTTTTGTCCTCAATTGCTTGTTAGTAAAATATTCGATTTTATACTTTATTGTTTGCGGATTTCTGGGTTATATTGAGCTACTGTGCAAATTTTTATTACATTTTTCTTCAGCACATTTAGCTCATTCTTCACATACTTACAGAAAAAAACACAGTTTATGTCATTATAGTGTATCAAGAAAGAAAGAAAAAAATGATCCGATTTAAATTTCACTGGAGGAAGCATTACTGTATTATGGATTATGGAGTCAGAAACAACAGTTTAATGTTAAAACGCCTTAATGATGGATTTGTTTCATTCTAACACAGCTTTTCACTTTTCAAGACATTAATTGATGGACTAGAGTCATGTATATTACTTGTGGATTATTGTAATGATTTTATCAGCTGTTTGGACACTGATTCTGACGGCACCCATTCACTGCAGATGATCCATAGGTAAACAAGTGACCAATGCTACCAAAATATCTCCAAATCTGTGCTGATGAAGAAACAACCTCATTCATCTTGGATGGCCTGAGGGTGAGTAAATGTTCAGTAATAGAACAGAACAGAACAGAACAGAATAGAATAGAATAGAATAGAATAGAATAGGATAGAATGTGGAGGACCAGTATTATATTATAGGTTTGCCTAATGTTTTTAATTAGACAGACAGACCATTCAATTTACTGAATTAGAAAAAAAAAAACTTTAGTTATTTATTATGCTTTTTTATTATACTTAATTTTGGGATTGTAGGCATGTAAATAATCTTATGTAAAATTCATCTCCACTGGTGGGCAGAGGCGGACAAAGTACACAACTCCATTACTTGAGTGAAAGTATGATACTGCTGGTCAATATTACTCCATTACAAGTAAAAGTTGTAAAGACAGATTTTTACGTAAGTAAAAGTACAGAAGTACTTGCTTTTAAAAGTACTTAAGTACCAAAAGTAAATTTCCTTTTTTGTGGCAATGCACTGTTTTATTATTGTTGTATGTAATACTTGCAATACCTTTGAAGCAACTTACAATACA